GTACATATTTATGTATAGAGACACAGACTTGCAAATGTATATTTTATATTAAATATATATTGTAAATATGTTACAAATTAAATAAGATTTGTAAAGATTCAGATGTAGTTATATATATTGAAGGTAATAAATTGTTATCTGAAAGACAGATCATGTTATCTATATTTCTCAAAGTTTCGGCTGTATAGTAATGATGGTCTAGTCAAATAATATCTTACTGTTGCAAGATATGCTGCGTAAAGATGCTGCACTTAAGATTTGATGCCGCCATTCTCAACTAGAAAGATTGTTTACGGTTCTTGTAATAAAACCGGCAGTACGAAGTAGACTGGGTGTTACTGTCTATGCGACGAGGGCAATACTGTTATCAAAAGCTGACTTGTGGTAAATTGTGTGACTGAGTCAGATGATTTACATAGTACTAGAAATGGGAGAGTATTGTATTTTAGTGACATCAAAATCAGTGCTGTAGTAATAGATTTCAGAGCATTTAGACGAGTATTCCAGTTGCAGAAGGATATTTCAAGTTCACCACTACAGAAAATATTTTGAACTGAATTACCACACTAAATCTCCCAATCATATTTATCTTTTAAAAGTTGATTGTTAGATTATAATTTACATTTAAATAGTATATAATGTTTTCTGTAGCTTAATGTCATTTTCTATCTTGTGTACTTGCAATTATGTTTGTGTTTCTGTGGACTAAGCTTTTTTTCATCTCTCTTTTTTTTCTTTCTTTGGTTAGCCTCATAAATCCCTTCACTGCAACCACTCCCCTGGTACTATATGTTTGAAGGTATACAGTATGTATATGTAAGAGGTATGTTTAAGCCCGAGCATTTTGGCTTGAACTTTTGAGTTGAATATTTGAGTGATGACTGACGCTTCACTCTCTGGGATGAGCAAGGCGCTGGGGGGCAAATGTAGTTTGTCAACCATAGGCTATGATACCTGCTGATCACAGAACTGTGAAGTAGAAAAGATATTTTAATTTTTCTTGGCCATATTTTGAAGTAGACAAAGAAAAATGCCAAATGGGGAGTCTTTTTCTTCTGTACGATTGAGAAAGAAATTACCCTGCTCACATTTTTTGAAGTCTGTTTAAATGAATCATTTATTTCTTCTTTTTTTTTGTATCCCCATTATGCATTTTTTGCATCATTGATCACTGATGTGGTTCATTAAAAATTCTATCAATTCTAGCATTAAGGTTTGAGTATGTTTTGAAATAAACTATAAATGAGCTGTGCTGTGATACATATGTGTCATTTAGCTACTATGTAGCTGTAATGTTATGGAGTCAATATTTTCACAGTTCATGTATTGTTTATTACATGTGAATATTTTTGGTAAATGGAACTTTAGAATCAGCAAAGATCAGAGTGTTTTAATTACCAACAGTTTAAAAAAGAAGCTATTTGTGGATGTGGCAGTTTAAGGTGTTTATCTGCATGACCACTATAGGATATGAGTATCATGGGGTTGAGGTAACTGTAGATAACACACATAATGCACAGGGCTTCCTATCTTGCCACAGTAAACACAAAGATTCAGCCTTATCCAATTTGTGACATGAGAAAAAGTGCACGGCAACCATCTTCAATCCTTAAGCTTGGAATAGTAAAAACTGAGATCCCTTGGAGTATGTCTCGGCGAGCTGCTATTCTGATGTAGTGGCTTAGTTGAAGGCTGCTTACCACTCATACCTATCACAATGTTCTATTATCACTGCACTGGGGAAGTTCCTAGAAAATAGTATGTCACCTAATGGTATAATATATGAGAAAATAAATATTTATAAGGAGTGCCTCTTATTTTTCATAACCTTGAACCACCCTTAAAATGAAAAATAATAACTGTGAATCCTTGAATGCTTGTTAAATAAATATAACTAAAAAAATAATCAAGTAAAGACAAGAAATGATGGACTTTAACATTACCTGCAGGACCATATGCACTTGCTCAGCAAATAACAGTCAACATAAAAGCATCATATTTGGTTCCTTATACTTTAAAGTTCCTGAAATATACATAATAAAAGTAATAGGGTTGTTAACTCACCCAACTTGCATTCACCCTACCATCTTTCCAAACTTTACCTCTCTCTTTGGTATTTACTCAGATAATTCCTGCATGAATGATAAGCATGTTATGTAAAAAAAAGAAAAAAAGAATTTAACAGTACATAGATTCATACAATCAAACACACACTCTGTTCAGCTGTTGTGCTGGGCAGGAAGGCCTCACCTGATTTGGAACTAAAATATGGAGTCTCTATATGCACAGGTGCACAGGAGTCAGACGTGTAATGGTGTGATTTCTAGTGCAATAAAGCTAGGTCACAGTATGTGTAGGTGAACAAGAAAGCACCAAATTCCTCTCAGGTGCTTCCCTCTTGTGCACTGAGCCAGCCAAGTCCATCAGTCCTTACATAAACTTGGGGAGAAGTGATGTAAATGGTGGGGGGGAAGGGGAATTAAAGCTACAATGTGAAGAAGTGATGAGCTGTCTTCAGATAAGTGACTCTATTCAAAACTCTACATTCTAAGTTATCATGTTTCCTTGTGTCAATTATACTTGCTCAAAATCAAGTGTTTGATAATGAATTTCTGCCAGACCAGGTGCCCTACTCATGTGTAGCTGAGAATGTCTTGAATACAACTGGATATACTTAACAGACTGGAACTAGGATGGCAGTATGAGGGTGTAATTTGAGCAGATGTGTGTTGTAAATGTACAGGTACAGGCACTATGAATATTATATATAATTACAGTATGAATGATTCATTCTCTCTTACTAATCACAGTGCTATTGGGAAGTGTCATAATACTTTGAATCTCAAAAAAACATTGATTACATATTCACAAAAATGTATTTCTCTGAAACATATTAGTGAAACGACAGCAGCATTAGATAAAAAAAAAAGTCTGACACAAAGAGGAAGCTAATGGTGGGATGAAATTAAACTAAACTAAACTAAAAAAAGAAAAAAGAAAGAAAAAAAGAAAGAAACACTGAGCACAGCTAAGTTCTTCTGGTCTTGTTTATCACCTTGTTCTATGACAACAAAAAAGAGGAAGCTAATGGTGGGATGAAATTAAACTAAACTAAACTAAAAAAAGAAAAAAGAAAGAAAAACACTGAGCACAGCTAAGTATGACAATCTGGTTTTATGCCATGGACCTTCACAAAGACTTGGATGGTACACTTTTCTAAGATCAGTACTGGTACCCACTCATTTCCCAGCAACGTGAACTGCCACTGCACTATGGCAGTCCCCTTTAGCAACTTCTATCATTACATAGACCAATTAATTTAGCTATGATAAACAACAACAACAACAACAACAACATTAACAACAACAACAGAATACCTTTAAAAAGTAATATTAAACTGAAAGGGAAATATTCAAAAGAACTTTCAAGATGACAGAGTTAATTTGACAAAGAACAAAGTTACCTACTTGATGAACAAACCTCTTCCTATCTCATACTTTAAAATACTTGGTACATGAAAACATTAACCATTATGAAATGAAAATGAGGTAAAGTATCCAGTTCATGAAAAAGATAATCAAAATCCTGTGATAAAAGAGGGTAAGACACCAATTCCATGATATTAGAAACGAGGACTGCCTCTGACCATGATCCAAATACACTGTACTGTTCCCTATTTATTAATTGGGCCACCATACTGTCTATTAACCAGGCTACCATACTGTTCTTTCATGCACACTTACACTCACACACACACACACTCACACACACACACACACACACACAAAACACCCAAAAATATAGAGAAATCTTGTTTTAAATTTGCTAATAATACATTTCCCAGAGGCTCATTTACAGTAAAAAAAATTGAAGTAAAAAAACAAATATAGTATTATTCACAGTAAAAAAAAAGAAAGAAAATAGAGAGAGAGAGAGAAAAAAAAAGTACAAAACAACTGTGGTGTTATTCAAACATAGGATCTCCAATTCCCCATTCCATTTAAACATGAAACATCTGAGGAAATTCTTTTCACATCGTTTCTGCATTTGTTTAGTGCAGCTGGATGATGCATACATTGGCCTTTTTGTGTTGAAAAAAAGAGGAGAAATAAATAAATAACAAAAAAGTACACCAACAGAACAAATTAAATCAATGGGGTGCTTTTCCCTCTTTATAATTCTGTAATCAATTTGCATATGTCAAATAACTTCACATAATTACTGAAACTCATGAAAATGGAAAAGAAACATGGTTTTATGGCAAGAAAATAATGCATACTGCACAAAATCATTATCATCACCATTAACATAATAATAAAGAATATATGCAATAAGAAGAATGAAAATTCATAACAAAATAGAGGTCACCCACTCAAAATGTTGCCAACTGAGTTGAATCTGGCAACACTGCATGGTAAAATTGGGAGTCGAGGGGACGATGCTTAAAAATCCACCTTCAAAATATCAGGCAAAAAGGAATGAAACCTAATCAAACACAACACAATACACCTCAATTCTGGCAGTTCATACATTGGCAATACTGCAAAGTAGAGTTCGGAGTAGAGGAGATGTTGCTTAAAAATCCACCTTCAAAATATCAGGTAAAAGGAAATAAAACCTAAAACAATACACCTCAATTATGAATAAAAGGTGGTATGATAATGTACCCATCTGCAACAAAAATAAAAGATGAACCTTATTTATTGTGACAAACATAAAAAAAAGGTATGAAAGAGAATGGATATACAAGAGATGTATTGAAATATATCTTCCTCAGACATATATATCTGATGACGATATATTTGAAACTGGTAAAATACATCTCGTTTTGTGAAGAAGTTTACAATATATCTTCGTCAGATAATCTCTTGTATTGCAGACATTCCACTGAAGATAATTTTGAAACCAGTTAAATAATATATCTTCGTCAGATAATCTCTTGTATTGCAAAGATATCCATTCTCATTCACACCTTCTCTATGTAAAAATAAAACAGCTGCTAATTCTCACAGTATATTTCATTTCAAGACTTTCAAATGAATGTCTCACAAATCACAACACTGCTATTACAAATAATCTCCATACAAAAAGGGGGAATCTATTGAAATTACCCATTACACATATACTAATGAATTACGTGTTACTCATTGCTAACATAGTGTTTACTTCCCATATAATCTTCCGCAGCTGTTCTATGATCTCCTTCATGTAACGAGCCTTTAGGTAGAGTTGCTGAAAATGAAGAAAAAATAATATATTTGTAAATTTTCTGGTAAAACATGATATATCACGGTCAATGAAATTAATGATCTTTAAACAAAATGATAATAAGATGATGATGATGAAGGAAAAGAAGTAGAAAAAGTCTTTCTTATCACTATTGGGCATGAGATTATATCACTTCTTAAAACTATACCTGATTCTGTTTTTACAATAATTTTTCATACAAAGATGAACTAAATGGGGACTGTCTACCTTTTTGTTTGAAATCTTCCATTTATTGCCAGCTAAAACAGTGAAAGGTCTAAATTCTAGGGCACGTGTGAACATATCAGTGTGCACCATATGAGGAACTCGTGTGCTTCTTTTCAAGCCAAATAGGCACTGCTAAAATCATTGTTTGTGTTTAAATAGATAAGAATGATAATGTCAAATATCAATGTTCTTTTTGGCCTAAATGGCCATCACAAAACCAAATTCACATAGAAGAAGGGTAGTAAACTGTGATTGAACTTAGATAAAGATGACATGACCCACATATCCCCAGTGGGAATACCATTCTGGGCAATGGGTGTGTATTGGACTTCACAAAATATATTCATAAATGTTGGATAGGCATGAAAATTATCATTGTACACTAGAACTGTGGATTTGCCAAACTGATCAGCGGTCTAACTTCAAAGATGGGTCAACCTATAGCTTTATGTCTGTTATAGAGTCATTTAAGAGGTTTACAAATAAATCTCTTTGGTAGATATCAAATCATGCTAACTGAATTTTCAATGACAGTTAAAAATTACTGAGAGAATAAGAAAAACACTAGAGAAGTATGTTCTTAAAACTGGGTTTTCATCATTTTGAATACTTTCATTAGCCTCTCCATGTAGGAATAACAGAAATCTATACCCTTCAAGGAAAGAAAAGAAAAAAAGAAGAAAGAAAAAGAAACGTCAATATCTACCTCCTTGAGTTCTCGAGATTCCTCCACAAGGTGACGGTAATTCTCACTGATCTTCTTTTGGTCTGGCTTGGTGTCTCCTTCTTCCTTGTATGGTATAAGGCTCTGAAAGTAACCAACACAAATTAGAGAAAAAGTGTTGATTAAAACTCTTTACTTTTGCATTCACTTATTCCACACTAAGTGCAATATTGCTTCAGATGTTTGCAAATAAGGCGTAAGAGACACAAGAGCTTACCTCAATATGCGTGTATTCCATCCCAGCACAATCGTCGTTCACTCTGGTGTAGATTGCCCTTAGGGTTTTGAACTGCCTTTGGATTGTTATGAGGTACTCTTGAATGCGCATCTTCTTATCCTGACTCTGCTGCGTACCTGCTTGTGTTCCATTAGGGAGCTGGAAGTGTTGAGGTTCATTGTATCATTTTGTGTGTATAAGTGATCTACAAAATCTAATGCAAACACTTTAAGCCTTCATTGCTGGACATCCTTTTAACATGTCAAGGTGATTTTGATGTTTTTACCTAGCATTAAGGGAATAGCCATTTGTTCTTGCCAAAACTGTCACAATCTTTATTGTGGTCCCCTGTGACAAGGGTGTTGAAGCTCTTGTAAAGTGGCATCTACAAAATTAATAAATTATCAAGCAGGATATAATTCTAATGAATTTTTAAAATGGTATGTCATTACATTTAGTATTGTTGTAATAGCTCTTAAAATTGGAAGAGACAGTTCTTAAAAGTGGCATACAATAATATGCTGGAGTGGTAGGGTTTATAAAATTTAAAGATTTAAAATGGTATGTCATTACATTTAGTATTGTTGTAATACATCAACCTTATGATTACATTCTAAACAGGCAGGAAATGATCTTGAAAATAGCTACTATAAATGCTGGTTTAGCCTCCTTGATAATCTGATATTCCATGGATTATTTCCATAATGGTCCATATATGATACAGCTATGGAAACCTTACATGGAGTTTTTTTTCTTTTCTTTTTTTGAACAGCTACACATATTCCTAATAATTTCACAATGCCTTACTCCTCCCAAAATGCCAATGATATTATAATCTTTTTAAATGAGACCTTTTAGTCATGGACTTCTTTTCAAAATAAATACCTTACACACACAATAACAGCAAGCCTAACACTATCTTCAGAACTTAATACGTGATTGCATTCACTACAAATCTTCATAACACGTTTAAGGTCACCCTTTTTCTGGATGAACCATCATAATTACCGGCATCGTCTTTAGAAGGGAGAACACTTCACTGGTTCTAACAACGATCTCTTGTACCGTCTCACAACCAGCTTTGCAGAGGAAAGCAGTATTTCTCTGTGGATGTTGCTGCTGTTGCTGCTGTGAATCACTGCTGCCTGGTTGAATGGTCTGTCCACCTGAAAAAGAAATACAGGAATACTAAGAATCTGTTGCTATAACTGCACTGCTCACACATACATACATACACACATACAGATAGACAGATAAATAGACAAAGTTAGGGTGATAGGTTGTAGAATATAATGGGAACTTTTCTAGTGTGTTTCTTCTTCTCACATTGTGGATTCAGTAAGAATGATGGTATATTATGGATTAAACCCTAGAGATTGTTTAGCATTACCATACCAGTCATTATATAAATCTAGAAATATTGATAGTACAGTAGTAGCAATATAGTCTGCATTAGTTCATGCTTATGATAATCATCATTGATAGTATTTTAAGATTAATAGTAAAGCCTTACACTTGTGAGTTCACATTTGTTAACCTCTATCAACTGCTACCCTGTAATACATTTTGCAATAGGCATCCATATCAACCCCACAACTGAATCTCATACAGTCTCTTTATCTTCTAAATGATGTCAGAGAAAATTAAGTGAGTTAACATGTAGCAGTTTTGTGTGTTGATAAGCAATAAATCAACTCTTTAATCTCAAAATCTGGTAATGTGTCTGGTCAAGTCCTGTCATGATTGCAAAGGGAAGGGCTATACAAGACCAGAAGATTATAAGAAACCTTACAGTTGTTCTCCTTTAGTTCACATGCCAGACTACATACATACATATACACATATTGTCTAGATACTATACCTGTGTGAGATCCTGGGTTCATCTGTCCCGTGTAGGGGCTCCTCATCATGCCCGTTGATCCTCCACTCATAGCCATGTCTGCAAGCAAAAATTTACTAATCAATAAAATAATAAAGCATTAAGTATTAATATCTGGGAGAACGCTACTGTGCTAACTGATTTTCAGAACGTTTTTATCAAGACTATCAGCAAGACACGTCTAAACTGATAGACTGTTAAAATTGTGCAAGGTGCAACTGAATTAATATTCATATATACAAATATTCAGAAATAAATGCTTAGTTGTTTACCTATCTGATAGATATACATTTATCTACTTGTCTATCTGGGAATATGCATGTCTAAACTGATAGATATGCCTTCATTTTTGTGTATATAAGTCATATTGAGTATTCATAGGTCGGGCCTCACACAATTTTAACAAACTGGCTGTATATATCTACTCTACCTATTATTCTATGCCCTAAAGAGTATTCCTGAAATAAACATGATAAAGTTATGATAAAGTAAAGCCCTTCCATATAGTGTATATTTGAGTAAGAAAGAAATGAAAATATGGAGATTTCTCGTCAAAGGAAAAAACATACCAAGTTCTATTTGCCAGAATATATATAGTGGGAATTTGCTGCATATCTAGTACTATACAAAGATCTGAAACAATAATAATACTTATATTATACCAATATATATATATATATATATATATATATATATATATATATATATATATATATATATATATATATATATATATATATATATATATATATATATATATATATATATATATATATATATATATATATATATTATATTATATAATATATATATATTATTTATTTATATATATATATATATATATATATATATATATATATATATATATATATATATATATATATATTATATAATATATATATATATATTTATATATATACATATATTTATATATATATATGTATATATATATATATATATATATATATATATATATATATATATATATATATATATATATATATATATATATCTTTAATAAAATCACATATATGAAGAGAAAAATGTATCAATACTACATCTACAATTACTCAAGCATTTGCTGTAGTCTTTGTTTCTGTCCGCACTTTAGTAACCTTCAACCACATACGTTCTGAACAGACTAAATTTGGCAATATCCAAATAAAGGAAAGGCCTATCTTGCCGGAATATATGTGGTGGAGGTTTGCTGGCTTAAACGATTCTAAGTTTTTGAATGAAAATGATGCAACATTTTGAACTTGTAAAGACTGCCTATTCATATTGTAACCGTGTTTCCTTTTCCAACAGAAACTAAATGAAACTTAAACCCTAAAATTAACCTGAATCAAAGTACAATGAACCAAAATGATTGTACTCAAACTTCTATTGTCCAATATTGATGCTCTGTTATGTTTCTGTGCTATTATTATTTTTTTTACTTTTCTCTTTTTTTCTAAGAATAAACACAAACAAATGATACCCATCTACTTCTTCCCCCCAAAAAAAAAAAAAAAAAAAGGAGAGGGAAAAAGCAAGCAAGCAAGCCAAGCACGCACGCACACACACACACACACACACACACACACACACACACACACACATACACACACACACACACACACACACACACACACATACACACACACACACACACACACACACACACACACACACACACACACACACACATACACGGGCCTAAATT